ACCCATAATTCAAAATGTAAATTCAATTTATCTAAAACTAAATTCCTAGCCCCACTAAGGGAACTCTGGTATCAAAATTTAGGTAATTTCTTAGTGCAAAGAGTTTTTCAAATTGATGGGAAAATTTTTTGTAATGCATAGTGTCTGCAAAAACTGGAGGACAAAAGTTATACGATGATTAGCTGTTGTCTTCAATACTATATTATGTTATTCTATACTATGCTACATAATTTAGCACATTAAGAGAAATTTCCAGATAATTTCAGGTGCCCAGTCAGCAAAATTCTCTCCTATTTGACATTGTCGTTGCATGTGAATTTTTCTATTTCCTCTATTGTTTAAACCAGTTCATTTCAACTCCAGACTGCCTCTGTAGCAGCTTGACGTTAACCATAGCAGCATATTTTATATGGTGGAATTTAAATTCTACAATATATTAGCGAGTATCTTTACTTGCAGTTACTCAAAAAAACTTCATTGTCAGGTCATGCGAAATCTATACTGACACAATTGAATTAACTGTTTTTTTTTTTGTTTTTTTTTTTTTTATTGAAAATTTGGCAGCTATTTATTGGTTTCATTAACACCTCGGTCATTATGCTGCCGTATCAAAACTATTTCATAACTGAGTGCCCAAGGTATACCCCCAGGGATTTGTCTTGAACGTACTTGCTGATTGATATATGTCCACACTTGCCAACCTGACACTGTCAAGATGGCCAACATAATTCTAGACAGTTCACTATATTTTAAAATTCCATCAGCACCTTTCAGTTTTTCAATTAAACTCCACTGGTTGTCAATCCTAGCTGATTTTATAACTTCATCTAAGTTTTCTAATTGTATATTGCAATATTATCAGTTGCAACATCAATACCATCATCTTTCATGACATCAATGAAGTAACACATGAAATCTGTTCAAAAAGTACCTTATATCAGAAAAACATGCACTTGCTAGAGCAGAAACATCAGTAACTTTAGAATGCAAAATCACTTCATCGTTGACTGGAAATTTATGTAGTAATGTAACCACATACTTCGACAGAAAGTGACCTTCTAACATGAAAGATAAAACTTATTTTTGTCTCTTCTTCTGAAACAGTTCTCGTCCACTACTTTTGTACTTGTAGCTCCTATTACCAAATCTTCATATTTCTTTTCTTTTGATTTTCCTATTTCACCATATAATCACATTATATATACAGAATTACAAGACAAAACACAGACTGGTTTTACAAACTTTGATAAAATGTCTTTAACAGATCATAAACCATTGATTGCAAAACATGAATTAATGGAATTCTGCTTTGTAGAACTGTGTTAAGAACATCGAATGATGGCAAAATGAATTGTAAAAAAAAGCAAAAAGCTTTGTTAAAGTCTGAAGTAAAAAACATAAATATTCGTTCTTCACAAGATAAACTTACAGAAATCGGAAAATGTTTCATGTGTTGAGCAATTTTGAGAGAAATTTGTGTCAGCCTTACGCTTATATTTTGCAGTATTATTTTGAGAACTGCCAGTTGAATTGCTGAATGGTGCAGAAATTACTTTATTTTTCTCAAACCTATTTTTAACAATGGAAGTATTAACTACATCTCCATTTACTTTAGGTATTTTATAATTTCCAATAGAGCCTTTTATCTTAACTCTCGAAGCATTTACTTCTTCTTTAAAAAATGCAAGAAGTGGGTTCCACTGATCGAGGATTCTAGATAAGGATTTCTTTAAAGACAGCCAGCATGTACACACGTTTCAAAATTTTTCTCATTTTAGTATTATGCAGCTGTTGGAACTGTTTTAATTTTTCCTTCCTTTTAGAACTCCTTTCAAGATAATAATAAATAATCAACAATGTGTTTAGCCACATTTCTTCGTAAAGAAGCTGCCCCTTTTTAGCTGCTAAATTTAAGAGGTGACAGGTAATGCAATCAATAACTGAAGATTCATTTTTCAAACCTATTTTTTTAACAATTGTACCTGTTTTGGTCCTTTGACTTGAGTATTTCTTAGCGATTTCACTATCGAGAAACATTTTTCTAAATAAAGCTGCAGAGTGATCCAGTGCATTCAGTGGCACAGCCACTGAATGCAACAGACACTGTAAAAAGGCAGAGAACAGACATTTTGCATTAATAACTTTTTGGTCCTTTGTTTTCGAAGAAAAATTTAATTTTTCGATTTTTTTTCAAAACAACTCATGTTGTCCTTGTGTTTTTGTGTACGCACATGCTTAAGAACATCCGCCCTTCCACCATGAGAAATCAAAAAAAAAGCAAAGACAGACAGTACACATCGCAAATTTATTACATTTCCTTGAGGAAATAATGGAAGGAAAGTCAACTGTGTACGATTTTTGAAACGTACACGAGTATTTCACCTTTGTCATAGACATAACAAAAGATGATAATTTCTAAAACTATTTCCCGAAGGCACGTGTACTCGCACAACTCAGTACAAGATGAACAAAATAACTAAAGAACATCCAAATAACAGCCTTGAATTTGCTTTGTGCTCATTGGCTAATATATGCCAGATGACACGCAGTGGAGCTCGATGCCCATTGGAGAACTGAAGAACAATGTTTCTGGATATGTATGCTCTCACTCACAAAGCAGAAATTCTCATCTGATTCACAAGGTTTTGTTTTAGATATAATCTAGAGAAAATTCAATTGCTTTCAGACGTCCAAAAAAAAAATTTTTTTTTTTTTTTTTTTTTTTTTTTTTTTTGTTCGTATAACGAAGTATTAAGCCAAGTTCCATAAAAATCATGAGAAATTTTAAGAATAAGTCGGGAGAAATATACTGGTCACTAAGTGCTTCCGATGACATACCGAAAAGTGTAAACAATAAGTTTTTTCTGATTATGACACATGATAAGAACTCAGTCAGCTATTGCTTGTTTGTTCATGTTGTGGACGGAAAAGCTGAATACAAGCAAACTCAGGTTTGTCCTCTGCACAATCCAAATTTACACCGGCCCAAAAAAAAAAATAGCAGCAACTATATCATGGGTTCATGTAGACAGGCCTTAAAATATGTTTAGACTGTTTCTGCAGCATAATGCCAATCAGTTATTTTTTAAACCATTACTTAAGAAAATAATTAACATCTTATTAGAGAACAGCAAGTTTTTGAACATCACAAAGGCATGGGAAATTTACCAAATTCAAGATTTTTTTAAATAAAATTTATGACATAAAAATTGCAGGAGGAAAATGTTGCCTAATTTAATTACATTAGTTACGGGTGTAGTTTGCCCCCTCATCTACCATTGGCAACGTAAAGAATATATTCAGTAGTGACAATAAGAAACAATCAAAATATTCATCAACTTCAGGTTTTATTAATTATGAATAGCTAATTAATACTTAAAAATCTACTGAAAAATAATGAATAAACTTTACTGTAACTTTTCTTGTAAATATATAGTGTTCACAAAAATCCTTGTATGATCTTTATTTTTACAACTACAGATAGATACTTCCACTTTAGTTTTATACTGAGAAGAACAATTTTTTTGAAAGACTTTCAAGCTAAGGATTACAAAATATTATGATACTCAAGCAGAGATTTTAAGAACTGTGAAATTTTAGTTATTTCTTGAAAAAATCAAGACAGTATATTTACAGAAAAATGAATTTGCAAACTTTCAAAATTTCAACAGAATTTTCAGTTTGCATGTTCAAAATATTTAGAAGATTTTGCTACTTTAAAAAATTATTTGGATTGAAATTCTATGATCCCCCCACATAACTGCATTTCCCTCATTTCACTAATGCTTTCTTCTAAAAAGGCTTTTCTATTGCCAAGCCTTTTTCTCTTTGAAGGGGAGGGGGATATGTAAGATAAAAATACATAAATGAAAATTATTATTGTAACAGTAACCCCTTAATTCTCCCTCTTTATTCTGAAAATCATAATTTCTCTGGATTGCATCATTACTAAATCAATCCATCTTGCATGGCCTAAGCAATGCTGATGACATGATTAATTCAGAATGTAAACTTGGAATTTTAAAAACTAAAACATTTCTGGACTAAACCAAAACCTCTTCCATACTGGACAAATGCACACTTTTAGCTTGAATGATACTTCGCTATGCTCTCTTCCTATCGCAATAGTATAAAAACTGTAAATGTTCTGAAAATAGACACGATTACATCTCCAAGTAAATTATGGCCAGAAATGCCAATTTGAATAAAAATAGAATTTAATCCACCTCGACTGCCTCGTTTCCTACTCATTAAGGATTTAACATTCGATGCAATCAGAATTCTTATTTTTCACTATGGATCTGTGTAATCAATATTTCTGCATTTCTATGTCTCAGTGTTCCTACATCAATCAGTATTTCTCTAAAATTTGTTTTTATGATACATATGTAACTAACATATTAAATGATTAAAATCTTATATTATTTTAGGCAATAAAATGAAATTAAAATTACTTGATAAATATTAGAGCTTCATTTAAAACACAGTGCAAAAATTACAAATAATTAGTTAAGTATTAGAGTTCAAATGGGAACTGCAGTTTATTGTCGTAGATGAAAACAATGAGGTGAGTTTAGCAGTTTTACATTGAGTTTGTTTATGATTTACAACAGCAAAGTTATAAAATGCTCTAAATGAGTAAAATGAAAGCAAAAACGAAAAAAAAAATTCAATACTCTCTTCACTCCCCCCCCCCATTTAGCATTTTTTTCGCATTATTGTTAGTACCAAATAACTTTCAAAATTGCTTTAAAAAATCCAAAGGTTATAAGGAACTTGTTAACTAATATTTCTAACTGTTAAATGGAGATCACTACATATTAAATCTATATTATATTTTGGAAAACACCAAAGCAAAAACATCTTTACTCATTAAAAATGAATTTATTTTTTAAAAAAATAAAGCAATAAGTTGACAAAACAAAATGAAATACAAATTGTTGCCATACATCAGTAATACACTTAAACTATGAGCCTTACAGACTAATATAAATTCATACCTGCCAATCTAGATAATCTTGTCCATCTTCAAAATGACGAAGGATTGAAACTGATACATGTAGCTTAGGAAACTCCTCTCGGGTAATTGGACTGAAGCGACTATCACGGAATGCACTATAAAATTATTTAAAAGTTAATTTCATTTTGATAAGCATGAATTATACTGGGAAAAACAATAGTAATGTTAATAAATAACATTTATAATTAACCAAAGAATACAAGCACAGAGAGATTACCTTAAAAAGATGGTTAGTAGACAAAAAAATTAAATTCATATGATTAATTAAGAATTCAAAAACAGATTCCATGTAACTACTCATTAAAATATGGATATATAAATATATTAAATAAATTTTTAATTTCTCCATTTCTACTATACTTCTGACATTTATGATGTCATTCCTTAATAATATGTCATTTTCAATAAATGTTCATGACTATAAAGGGGGCATTCCTGATGGCATTCCATAATAATAAGAATTCAAAAACAGCTTTCATGTAACTACTCATTAAAATATGAATATATAAATATATTAAATAAATTTTTAATTTCACCATTTCTACTATACCTCTGACATTTATGATGTCATTCCTTAATAATATGTCATTTTCAATAAATGCACATGACTATAAGGTGGCATTCATGATGGCATTCCATTATAATATGTCATTTTCGATAAATGTCCATGACTATAAGGTATGTTTAATACCTTCCTACACAGTGATAAAATGGTGGAAAATAAAATTTATAAGCTTATTATTTATGAAAATAATTTGTAATTTGCATAATGCAGTAAATACTGGCAGATTGGTTAAACACAATTTCAATAATAATACTATGTACACTGACCCACCTTCAGATTCACAATGATGAATTGATGTATCCACCAAACATTCTTTATCCACTTATTTTATTAGGTAACATGAACTGGTGTATTCATAAGAGTTACCTTTATTTGGAGACAAGTGGTGAAAATAAACTTGATGCTATTATTATGATCCATTATATAAATAACAATATACTTATTTACAGTTTTCAAAAAATTGCTTTCAGATTACCCAAGGAAACTGCATTCCTCTTGGGAAATATCTGGGCAACTTCAACTAGTTATATTTTCTTACTGTGCAAGTTATCCTTGCCTATATAAATACAACAGATACAAGTAGAAGTCAATGTACTGATGACACATTCAGACCTTTTTTAATTAAATCAACAAATTACTAACATATTTTATGGCATCTGATCAATAATCATATTTAATAATTATATGCATATTCACCATAAATCTTTGCCAGTTTACAATCATGACCCAATTCAGACTCATCCGTGTTTTATTCCAATACTTTTTCATATACATCATTTCTTTTAAATATATTTATAACATTTTATTACTTTTTTTCTTATACACATTTTCTACAGTGTATTAATATTTTACATGTTTTGTGAGCTACAAGATTTCCAACTGCTAAAATGAAACATAGATGACAGCACACTGAAATATGATACTGCAAATCATTCTGTTACGAGCATATTAAGAAAAGTATTAATAAAAGGCCTGCATAAAAACTGTAACAAATATTTTCCCATTCTTAATTTTAAATTTAATAAATTAATTTTAAATTCATGAAAAATTATTAGCTGATATTATATGCATTACAGCAGCTCATCTAAGCCTTAGTCTCATATAAACTAGCTTAAAAACTACTTACGTTCTAAACATAAAATAAATATATAAATGGCAGATGTTTTGTGACTAGAATCTGATAAGAATTTATAATAAATTTCAAGGCTACTTGCTGCATCCTTCTTATAGTAGCTTGTCCATGATCTGCCAAACTACACACATTACAGTATATGTCAACAGAAACATAACATTCTTTCAATAACAAATTACGAATTTTTAAATTCATATATATCACTGCTGCACTACAGGTCTGCAGTACACTTATCCATACTATTTGATTGACAGCTTGAAATATCTATCCGATTATAAATACGATAGATCTCCTTCGTAGCAAATACTTTTAGCATATGCTATAAAAATACTGCTCTGAAGACACCAAATCAAAGGCAAACTACTTACTAAAGGCTGCAACAGATTACCCAAGAAATTTGTAATTCTAATATCAGTAAATCCAATAAAAGATATTAAAAAAATTAAGAATTTTGTGAAGATGTGAAAAAAAAAATCTGATATTTTTAAAGATAGAAATTAATGAAAAAGATAAAAAGGCTAATATTTTTAATCCAAAAGAAAAATTAAAGAACACAATTCTTTTTGGTTAAATTTAACTGGTGAAGGAAGTCCTGTTTTTTAATTATATTTCATCATGTACTTCAATCATAAAGTGAAAAAGAAAGTTTACTGTAAAAATAATAGCTAGATATTTAGCACATCTTTACAGTAACTGATAGAGAGAAAATTTTGAAGTTTGAAAAGTTCTTCATAAACACAGCAGTAAAATTTAGAACTCAATGGGATCTTGAATTTAAATAAAACTTATGCAGCAATGTGTTAATAGCACACTAACAGTGTGATGCATTAGTTTCCATTCTTCATTTCTCCTATTTAATGAGCAGTGGTCGAAGTAGCAGAAGGCTGTGACATCATGCAACTTCTAGGAGCATCCATGATCATTCAACATCCTTAAAAGAGGTAAATTTTATATATTCTATTTCATCTGAAGAGAACACTAAGTGTAATAAATTCAAGAATAGAAGCTCTGCACTGAAATATGTAATTACAATATATTAGTAAATAAATTAGCATGCAATAAATTTAAAACTGAAAAGCCACTTTGCACATGCTGCAAAACAACAAATCTTGTATAACATTTAATACTTGTTTAAGTATTAAAGAATTTTTTAAATAAATATGCATATTACTGTGCATTAAAAAATATTCAAGATATCACAGATTTAACTCTTTCAATACAAGACCCAGTTTGTCCCACTCCAAAATATCAAATCTATTATAGGGAATATATAAAATAGAAGGTTATTATTTTTGGTCATTTCCTCAAGAGCATCATAAAGGTAACTGGGGTTGAATACTTCTGAAAAACTATACCCCTTAAATACCTAACACATGTATATTTATTAGTCTTTGGAAACTAATGCTTGAAAATAAAAATTTTGAGCTTAAGCACCAAAAAGGGGAGTAAAAAAGCAGAGGCAGTCTAAAAAATATAGGTTACTTCCCATTATTTCAGCATGTATATCAGTTGAAAGGGTTAAACAGTGACAAAATATTAAAACTTACAATAATTTCAAAATAATGTTTAGCAGCATGCACACAAGATTTTACAAATATAGCTTTATTAAAATTTATGTATACAGCTCTGTCTTAAAAAATATTTTAATTTTCTATTTGAACAAGGACATACTTAAAAACCTTTATGCTAAAAATAATTCTCTGAAAGTTAAATTTCTGAACTAAATCAAGTAACACCTCTAAATATATGGTAAAATATATATAATTAACTAATGAACTATGTATAAAATGTAGACATACATATTAAATCGGTGGTTCTCAACCTTTTCTAATGTGAATCAGAACCCTTAAAATTTCTTATTCACGTGTTCATTCTAAAAAATAGGGATTTTTTTTTTTAAATCAAGCAATCTGTTATTAAACAAAATGTTCACAATAGTTTCATGGTACTTACGAGACCTATGTTAAACATTCTTAGCTTTCTTAATCATTTAATTTCAACAGTATTAAATTCAGTCCTTGTAACATACTCTTTGTTACAATCTGAATCAACTAATTTGAAGCGATCATTTAATTTCAACAGTACTAAATCCAGTCTTGTAGCATACTTTTTGTTACAATCTGAATCAACTAATTTGAGGCAGAGTAAATCTCTGAACCCAGCCTAAAACCATGAAATTCTCCTTTTCTGATTGAGAACTTGTGTCATAAATTATTTTAAATACAAATTTATCTAACTGCAGGAAATTGCACTATTACACTACAGGAACACTATTTTAATTTGCCTTTATTGCAACACCATTTTGAAATATATACAGTACTTTTTTTTTTTTTTTTTTTTTTTTAGCTGCAGGTGGAAACAGCACATAATATGTACGGCAAATTGCTAAGAAAGTAAGTTTAAACTTGAAGCTCACGACAACAGTATTACATATAAGCATTATTCTAAATAATTATTTTGCAAAGCAATGAGCCATATTTTGATAACAGTACTTTTACTTATTAAACTCATTCACGCATATTACTAAATGAGACGAATAGTTTAGTTACATTACTTGAGCATTTTTAAGTTTAATAATTACAATCAACCATTTTTTTAAATTATTTTAGCTTCACAAGAATAACTGATAAAATATGCCTTATATGATAGCATAATTATATGCATTCATAAAAACTGCTCTTTAATGCTTCAGTAAATTTGCAAAACTTATTTAACAAATAATCTATAATTACATTTTGTGTTTACGGTGGATAACAAAGATACAAATTTTTTAAACAAAGATACAAAGATTTGCCTAAAATGAAGGTATCGCAAAACACAGAAATGGATATGTCCAGAGCTATGAAATGTGGCAAATAGATTATCCAAATAGCATCCATATACAGCTCAATATACTTTTCAAAATTCAATTTTAAGTTTTTTATTTAATGTTGAAATGACATATCTTTCCTTCATGATCAAACTGATAAATAGAGAATTTCTCTATTTTTCTACTGGACAGAGTAGTGGAAAAAAAATTACATGACACTTATTCTGCATTTCTAATATAATTTAACAATTTTGGGAGATTTGACAAAAATCTACAATTTATTTATTTATTTTTTTCCTTACAATTGCACTCTATTTTAAAATTCCAACTTAGAAAATTAGTATATTACTTTGATTTAAAGCAACACTTTTTATTCAGATGTTTTAAAATGTAAAATTAGGATGTTGCTTTAATTCAAATCAAATATTATAGCATATAATTTCTGCTTTGAAACCATTAAGTCATTTTATCTTCCGTTCCCCAAGAATAAGATCCCTGAATAAGCTATCAAAAATATTTTTTTAAATGTTGCACTGCTAATGATTTAAGCAACACTAAAAATGATGTACCCCAGTGCACAAGTTAAGGT